ACTCGTGCCTCCCAATGAAACAAAAAAAAAAAAAATTTAAAACCACAAAAAAAAAAAAAAAAAAAAAAAAAAGAAATATTTCCATGATAAAACTATCTTTCAAGTTTTTATTGCAGGCACACAGCCTGTGTTTAGGTTTTATTTGCTGATCATTATGTGCAGAAAAGTTTTCAAGTTTAGTTTTGGTACTTTCAATTTCTATGGTTGTGACACTATCTAAAGGGTTGCATAAAATAGTAGCCTCATCAAATATTGTAATTATTGTATATGCCATTTTTTCTTTACTGTTGAATAAATTGAAAAAACAAAAAAACGAAAAACATACCAGCAAGAGGAGGCCCAATAGTTAGAGGTACAGACTTTATAGCAAACAAAACACCAACACCTGTTGCCATGTTGTTACGTCCAACAATATCACCAGTTAAAACAGGAGCCAGGAGTACATAACATCCTTCAAAGAACCCAAAAAATGTGGCATAGAAAGCAAGACCACCATAGTTTGTCATGAGAGGACAGATGGTGTTGCTAATACCAATCATCAGGAAGGAGAACTGATAGAGGTACAGACGGTTAATCTTTGGATGATCAGCAATCTTGCCAAAGAATAACCTTCCAACTGTAGAGCCTACAGACATCATTCCAATGAGGAGGGTAGCTTTAAACATATCTATTCCTTGGAGAGTAGCAAGACGGATCTGAAATTGAAGATTAGCATAGTTATTTTTCTCATTTTTTATTTTTTCTTGCCTAGGGACCTACAGTACTTTTGAAGAGCATACAGGCCTGGGTATCTCTTGAATGAAGGGAAAAAAGGAGAACTGGCACTGAAAAAGTGGTACCTTAGGCTTTATGAAAAATCAAATATATGAAAAAGATAAACATGGTTGTACTTACGAGATGTACAAAGGGAACAAAGTATCCTAACATCCAGAATGAAAGTGAGCCACACCACACCAGGTATGCCTTGTTCTTGAAAAGACTGAAATCAACAAACCTTGCGCAGCCCTTTTTCTTTTGGTTGGCTTCCTTTTCTTTATCATACTTGGATCCATTTAAGAAAGGGGTATTTATTGGGCGATATACCAGTGCAATGACAATGATACATGCCAACATGGCTGCTGATATCCGCATAGTGTTTCTCATACCAAACCTAGACAGTAATCCCTGTAGGACTGGACCCATGGCTAGCGATCCAACACCACTACCAGATGAGGTCAGGCCATTGGCAAGGGAGAGCTTCTTATTAAAGTATGTACCCAAGATGACAACAGTGGGGAAGTAGCACAAACTTGCCCCAACTCCAAACATCAGGCCATATGTCAGGTCCATTACATAGATGTTTGGTGCAATGGAAGCTAAGAGACATGCCCCTGAAGCTGTGGAGCATCCAATTATGGTGGTCAAACGGCAGCCAATTTTTTTGCACAATGTGGTACCCAATGGTCCCAGTAGGAACATCATACCATAGGTAATCGAGCCTACCCATGCTGCAAACAAACACAGAGAAATATTAGTTTTACATTGGATACCAAGTAATAATGTAAGGCTTAGAAAACACATGATGATTCTAAACTGATAAACTATTGGCCTTTGGATTTTGGTCAAAACAGTATGGCCTCAGTCGGACTATTTGGCAGGTCCAAATTGCTAGAGCAATTCTTATGATATTTAACATTGCGTTGAGCAAACCTTACAGAGCAGCCCCTTAGTGGGTTGAGTCATGATTGTGAAATTTATATCCATAAATGTTTATGAGTTCTCTAGAGAAGACTTTTTTTGTCATGGGGAGAGCTGCTGAGTGCAACAATCTAATTTTGCACTGAACAAAAGGTACTAAAATCTAAGGTCAACTTTGATAAATAACACTGGCATTGTTCTTTCAAAACCTTATTTGATTACTATTTTTAGCAGTTGCTTGAGCATAAACATCTATATTCTGATAAGAAGTTCTTTTTCTACAAGAACAAAAGGAAATGTTATCTTTTTCCTGTCATTTGAAACGAAGCATTCTGCAGTAAACTAAGTGATGAATACAAACTTGAATTTTTTTTTCTGGATTGATAATGAAGCATGGTTGAAGGATTATGCTTTGTTGACAAATGTGGTCAACCTTTTGGGTTTTAATAGTGATTAGTAAGTGTTAGGAAACGAGGACAAAGGAGAGAGAGGATAGATAGAACGGTTCACTAATTCTTTCTATTGTATTTTTCACTAATGACTGACAGTGGGTACATTAATCATCTGATGTAGCAGATATACTCATCATGAGGAGAGTCATGTGATTTTTCTTTATCAGATGTTTATCGAAAGTCCGCATGATTATGCTCCATATGACTTCCAACCATCATTTTTGCTTTGAAATAAAACTCCTTTGCATTAAGATAGAAATATTCTTACGTATTAGGGAATATCGGTCCTAAACCTTGGTGTTTTAAATATTGGTATTGTTCGTTCCAAATGATTTTGAAAATTTGCACTAGGGCTTGCTTTTGAAAGCAACAGATTAAACTTACCAAAAACTGAGGCTTTTATAATAGCTACAGAGGGAATATATATTACAAAAAATGCATTTTGTGTTATGGAGTACTTCTCTTCTGTTTTGCACAGTCTTTTCGTATGTTAATTTTTAGAAAACAAAGCACAGCTTAATACGTTTTTTATGTGTACACCTTATCCCGATAAATTCGCGTCTGCTGTTGTTTTTTCGCGAATACCGCTTCTTTTTCGTGAAGTTTGGCTTCGTTGGGTRACCACAAAGCGTCTTTCGGAGTGTTGACCGTGTTTATTTTGATTGAAGAATTCCAAATTTATTGTTTACATATAAAAGCAGAGTAAATAGAGAAAAATTTAGAAAAACAACTCGATAAAAAAAACCTTTAACCTCTCCAACCAAGCTAAAGTGGATCAATTTTCAGCGTTCTGTTCATAACGCTTGGAGAATTTGAGTTCTCTCAAGTGCTGTGCAGAGCTTCACAGGGTAAAGCCGAAAACTGTCAGTCAGGCTAGTAAAACTAATCTCATTGGTCGAAAACCGGTTTGACAGGAAACTAGTAGTTCAGCTTCAAACCTTGATATTTGCCAATCTTCACGTGATTTTAACGGAGAAAATTTTTTAGATCGGATTTTACTTCTCCAATATGGGTTTCAGATAGCACTAGCAAGGCACCTAAATTTTCTGATTCAAGAAAATGGCAACAAAAAAAAATGTTTTTGATGTTTTTGTTTCTCTTTCAAGATGACATTCAGCATGAGACAACACATCGATATGTCAAACACGACGAGCCTAATAATGAATTTGGTTCAAAATTTTTTTCTTGAACACAGATCTTTATCACTGTTTCAAACGGACCCCCATTTGAAAAATTAGTATAGTATGCTACAGTAAAATTTGATGACCTTAGCGGGGTCAGCAAAATTTTTTATCAAAGCAAGCAGTCTCGAAGTATAGATGCRGGTATAGCGGCATAAAAATCTAACTCGCTTCGAATTTGGAACATTACGAGTCTTCCAAATTAACAAGGAATTAGCGATTTTAAAAAGAAATTTCGATCATTGGTAATTAGAGAATAAGGCCTTCTGTGTAGAAGATCATAAATTCGCTCTAAATTATAACAAACAAATCATCTCATTTGGATCTTGTTTTCGATACTGACCACAGAGTACTTTTTCTTTAGTCATTTCCCTTACCTGCCTCTGCTTTGCCCACGTTGAATTCTCTCAGTAATTCAACGTACATAACGCCAAAATTGTTCATGGTTCCAAGAACTATAAACTGAGTGGTAAAAGTTGCTAGGCATACGAACCAGCCCCATCCTCCATCTGGATATTCTACCAAAGGCTCGGTCTTTTTGTCCAAAGGCTTCTTCTTGCAGCACAGCATCTTGTTACTTATGGAAATGGAGCGTAACAGCTGATTTTTGGCTGCGACTTAAACAGTGAGTTCAATCAACCCACTTTCCTTCTGCGGAAAATCTTTCCTGTAGATGGACTTCTCCCGCACCTCTCTCAGAACCCCATAAAGCGAGAAGGTCGCGACGTGAGAGCGTTGAACAAAAATTTTTTGAAGGCTATTAGATCCTCTGGCAGGTGACGTCTTTGAATTGTCCTGTTACTGCGCTGTGATTGGTAGGAGCAATCTTGTTTACTTTGATTGGAAGTGATTTTCTCCCCACTGTTAAATTGTGCTGAGATCAGGTGAAATTCATGTGATCAAGCAGTCCTTATTTGCTTCGTATGCAAATTAATATATGATTCTAGAACTCTCGGTCCTCTCAAATTATACCAAATGAGATAAATCAAACGAATGTCCTTAATTTCATATTGAAATTTCAATTTTTTTGATGACCGGGCAACGATTGAACATGAACTCAGATGACACACTAGGGTTCAGTGGCATAAAACCTCACTTCCGGTCACCGAGCACCGTGACATACCCATCTGCATATGAACTGATCCTTGAAAGATTTTTATAGCAGTAAGTTAGCTTGTGGAACCTTCCCGAACGATTGCACAACCAAGAGTTATGCCCTCAAAAGCATATGACACATTATCTTGTATATAACCGTAGGATCTATTTTTTGTTCGTTACGTTTGCTTGCCCTGATTTGCCTATTGATCAAAAGATTTAGGTGTGAAATGAACTTTGGACTATTGCCAATAAAAGAAATTTTATACGAGCTTTATACAAGTTCTTGTACATCAAAGTATGAATACTATACAGCGTAGTTCGTAACTTATGAGTGGATTATACGTATGGGGTTTAAGAATTTAACTAGATTCCGTTTTGCTGCAAAGCCGAATCATTAAATTTCAGTGTTGTTATCGTTCAAGAGGTCCTTATTATCATAAATAATAAAAACGAACACAATCAATCATTTGCATTGAGTGGAATAACATATCATTTCCTGGCCGGGTAGTTTTTAGCAACTATGAAATGTTTTTTCCTGTCGTTTTCCGGTCAGTTCTGATCCATGCAGGGTTCAAGACGCACATCACGACCCGGCAAGCTATCTTGTAATGCTATAATTTTATTCCCTAATGACCAACTATTCAGTTGGCCTTTAATCTTCAGAACATTAGCACCGTTGGCAAGAGAAATGTAAAGGCCAAGGTTTTTGCAGTTCTATCGTCCAAAATGTCCTAAAGAAACTTCGGTTTTCGTCGACAAAAACAAACCATTTTATCTCAAGGAAAATCTTAAAAAGAAAGAAAGGACACTTGAAAAGAAAAACGAATTTAATTAAAATAAGCCATCCAGGCTCGCACTAATTTTAGTGGATTCTCATTGGTTGGAAGAATCGATCTAAGTACCTTCCCACCTATAGGACGACGATATAAGTCATATCGGGGCGAAATAGACAAACCATGTTTTATTATACACTCTCGCAAAATGATATTTATAATATTGCTAAGCTTAAAGTTTCAAATTCTTTTAAATCTCAAACGCTGAAAACATCTGCTTTTTTCGGTTGTGAGCACATAATAGGTGTTGAATTTGGTGTCTTAATCCTAACGTACCCGCTAAAATTGACACTCTTCTCTTAGTAAATAAATATAATGCTTCCAAGTTGAAAATACAAGAAAAAAGACAACCATCAGCCCTTGATCAGATGCCCCATAACAGTCGTACCACATGATTTGGAAGCCACACACGAAAACAGGACACTGTCGATAATGTGCACAAGAAAGACCACCGAGTAAAAATAAATAAATAAAATAATTCCTTGATGCAATGCTTGTTTGGTGGCAAAGGATTCAGCATGCAGAAATCGCAATAGGATTGCTGCAGTGCTGACTATAAGATTATGCATGGCTTGCATGTCTGTAGGTGGTAACAAGTGAGGTGATGTCCAGTGATGAATGACACAGAGCCTCTATCAGTCAGACATCGTCGCACTTGGGTGCTGTAGTAACAGACAGCACGCATGGACTGGGACAATTGCGGTTTTTCATCTTATTCTTGTTAGTAAAATATTTGACAACGCTTCCTGTCGTGATGGGGTCCACAAGCCTTAGATCCAATCTTGACAACATGTGATGATGGTATCAGAACTTGCCTTGACAAGTCATTTGTCCTCCCTTTTTCAGTTTTATCTCTTCGTTTCGCTTCAAGGATTTTATCAAGCTTTTGACTTACCTTATTCCTCGAATTTTACAATGAATTATTTCCTTGAAGCTTAGCTTCCAAAACTTTAAACACTGAGGAGGAACGTGTCTATGMTTGTGCTAATGCCAATGCTATGCTATGCTTTTCTACACATCCAACATAAGAACTGCCAGATAAAAATCTATTCTCAAGGAYCATTAAGAAAGCTAAGCACCAAAAATAGAAAACCCAGAACAAACAATCGAAGGTTCAGTTTACTTTTATTTGAGATCTACTTTTTCCAAACCATGCTAAGTGCTTTATTACTGAACGAGGCACGAAAAAAGCTGTTTTATTCGTTCTATTATATAGCTACTTTTTTCTCGGTATTGAATTCATTTACGCAAGAAGAAAGACGCTCGCAGGATCTAGCAGCACTTTGGGTGGGCGGTTGGCGTCAGAACTGTGCTCCGTTTACAAATAAAGCACAGTTTTCGACCAATTAGTGCGCGCATACTATCTTAACTATATAATAAATTAATATGGCTTTTAACTAAGCATGATTTTTGAGAAATGTAGCAAGCTTTTTTCTTCAAGTTCTTCAAACTACTAATTCGGCATACTACTAACCTTACTCCTCTCATTGTTGAGCAAAGGCAAAAAGAACAAAAAAAGGAGGGGAAAAAAAAAAACGAATGGAAAAGGAAAAACAATTAAGAAGAAGAAGAAGAAGAAGACTGTTAACACTGTTGCGAATCCATAATTGGAATACCAACTAGGGCGTGACTGGTGTTCGGCGTTCAACTGATAGAACGCCTATTTTTACTGTTCTTCCATTATAATTATACTGGCTGTGTAAGTCTCAGTGGGAAACGACTAGGAAGACAGAAAACTGTGAACACTGTTGCGAGCCCGAATCCATAATTAGAATACAAACTAGGACCTTAGTATTTGGAATTATGGACAAAGGTTATTTAAAACCATACTAGATTTCATCTCCATCCCTTTGGGGTGTATTTGGAATTATGGACAAAGGTTATTTAAAACCATACTAGATTTTATCTCCATCCCTTGTGGTGTGACTGGTTTTCGGCGGTCAATTGATAAAGGGAATTTATAGAACGCCTAAGTTTACTGTTCTTCCATCATACTAGAACCTACTGGCTGTAATAGTCTCAGTGGGACACGAGGGATCTTGCCAGTGGCCGTGGTGCGTTTCCTAGGCAGGGTCATGGAGAGTGAGGGGTAGAGGTTCAACGCGGCTTTCATTGTTTAYATTTATGAAGAAAATAGACTTTTGGTTTTAAAAACATCCTGACTTAGTTAAATACAATGGGGTAGATAAATAAGAGGATTCTGTGCAAACATTGTGGGACAAGGCGCACCAATTTTATTAGTTTTTGCTGAATCAGTGTGCGTCATTCCCGGGGCGTCATTGCAGTTGTATCCATGATGAATAACCTTTAATTCTTATTAGTATAATATGATTAGACTTTTGATAAGCTGCTGGCATTTTCCCAGTTGGTATTTTAATCACGATTTTATAAGCCATTGCTACTCTCCGCACTGGTCTGGTCTTTTTTGCCCTCAATTAATCTAGTGGAGCCAGACAGAAGGGGAAAGAAAGAGGAGTGAACTGGCGAAGTAAAGTGGCTAATCAGTAATTGGTCTCATTCTTGTCATGGTTCTATTTTGATTGATCTTGAAAAAATTTCAACGCTAGAAACTTCAACTAATTATTATCCATACCCAGAAACAGCGTCACTGGACTGATCAATGTCAGGGCATGTTAACTCACAGATTTAACTGGAATTCGGTGCGTTTTGTTTTGCATCGGGAGATCCCACAGAAGAACCCTTGAATCAAGGGAGAAACGTAACAAACTCTGTTCACATGTGATTCCGAGTCTGGGAATCGAACCTGAGACCTCAGAGGCGAGAAACAGTTGTACAACCGCTACGCCACCCTCGATTCCCAGCTTCTGGATAAATGTACATGCATGATAACGGCGATACTTTGCAAGCATATAGTTCATTCCTCTTTAAAGGTGTCATAAGATTTGTACATTCACGTACAGGCATGCCCTGTCCAAGCAGATCATTTATCTCATAAGTTTGTCAATAAAGCCGGAAAGGAAATATCATTTATCCAAATCGCAAATTCGCTGAAGGGGTTCACTCATGTTCATTCAGTGCATCTTCTTTGAAGGCTCTTTGAGTTGCATCATGCGCTGTTTAATATTTCGTTTTCAAGACTAAATGCATTCAAGTATCTAGGACATACAGTGCTCTTCAAGTCGATCAAGTCGTACGGTACTGATAGGTTGTGGTTTTTGTTACCGTTAGCATAGGCTCCAAGCTTTCATGAATTTCCGTTTGTAATTAAGGGCAAGAGGTTAGCAAAGGATAACTTTGAATCTAATCCATACCCCATGTGTTAGATACCCCTTATTCCGAAGAACCGCTTGACGTCATCGAAAATTTATATATTTTGTGTACCTGATAAAAATAGTTTAATTTGGCAACAAACAGCAATGCAGCGGTTTAAGGCGAAAAATAAAGAGAATAACTTATATAAAGAGGTTATTTTTATTTTTTAAATATAGCATGATATACACTGCGCAGCAGTGCTAGGAGTTCAGGGGTGCCAGAGGCCTTTTTTTCCTGTTAGGGTCCTGTTGCGCAGCTGTCCCTTCTTTCGGTGAAACGTCTTCAGGATATGACGTAAAGAAACGTGTCCGTAATTCTTAGCCTTGACCGATCAATTTGATTTTCGCCCTGTACGTGTCCGAATGCCGGCAACTGGACTTTTTCCATTCACAAAGTGCAAGGACGAGCTCGAAATTAAAAGATCATTTTTGAAGTGGTTTCTTAAAGTAATACTTCCTTACAGGAAATTCTAGAGCTTCACCAAGAGTTAGTTATAAGACTGATACAGTTACTTTTACTATACGCCCAGTCGTAGACGCCCAAAATGGCTTTTGAACTGAAGTATTTGAATTATTTCGAAAGCAAGTTTAAGGCCATTGGTGTCGTGTTTCTCAAAGCTGACCCTGGGGTGGCTAATTGTTTGGTTTTCTTCTGTGATAAATTCTAGTGTTCAGTTTGATAATATATAATTCATAATCTTTAATAGGCAGTCAAAAGCCCGTGATTTTAATTTTTAGCCTAAATAATGCAGGCAGCAAAGATAAAAGATAAGGAAAATATTTAAATTGGATCGGAGAGGTGCCACTCGAATCGGTGCCTTATTTCAATGCTGGTTTAAATTACTACCCTTGATATCTATTTCCGAAATATGGTACCTATCTTTTGTCCTTGAAAAGTTGCATGAAATTCATACGTTTTTTAGCGGATTCAAAAGTGATCAGGCGAAAAATTGAATATATGAGATGAGAAGATTCGAAGGACATTCACTGAGCCCCAAAACAGGGGAGGGGATTGGGTTAAAAAAGGTGTCGACAAAAAATTACGAAAGATAGAATAGAAGCAACAAGACACAGGAGGAAGGAAAATATGAAGAATGAATGTGACTTTTCTTCCCAGTAATTTTCTGAGCTAAAGGCTGGAGAATAGTTACCTCTGCTCGCAGGGTAGAGAATACTAGATGGTATAAATAGAGGAGGACAGAAAGCCGTCGGATACCGCACTTGCCTGCTGGGTTTCCGACGGGAAAGATGGTAAAAGGTTTATACTACGCTCCGCTTGGGTGTCCAATAATACGATAGCAATAAAACATTTAACAATTGAACAGTGGGAAAGAACAGTTGAATAAAATACTAAAAAGAAATAAAAATAAAGATCAACACAAAAAACTAAAAGCACAATATTGTATTCGTCATGATTAATTCATAAATCTATTAATAAGTAGTACAACGACAATATTGTTAGAAACGTCCGTTTTTTAACCATTTTTGCTTGAACTCGGATTACATCTTACGTACATAGTTTTAGTCAGATCTTTCCGTATTCAAAGCATTACTTGAAATTGCGGATTGATTTTGATATTGATTTTTATTGATAAAGCTTCTGGCCTAAATAAACCTAAGAAGCGGCTTCAGATTAGTAAACCTCCCCAAGGTCAAAGGGGGAATGACTCATAACCAACACTGAAGCAATCTGCATGCAATCATCAGTTTCTAARTCAAAAGCTAAGAAAATATACTTATTTCTATACATCACAATTACAATTTTCTCCCAAAGAATATCCATCTGGAGTTTGATTATGCAATTTTTGTTGCATTTGGTGGCTTTTTCAAAGCAGTGTTTATGATTTTCTAGAATTTATCGAGGATCGTGTTATATGGAGTTGGGAGAATCTAGCGTGCAATCAGTATGTCGTTACTAATGCATGAAAACAAGGCAAGAACTGAGATGGGGAAAAAATTAAGATGCACGAAATAATCTTTTGTCTCCTTACAGTATGATTTACGGAAGAATTGTTGTCACTTTAGGGATAATTTTATGAATATTTTTTCCAAGAAATTCTTATTTTTTGCTTTATTTTTTCGTCCAAAAATATGAATAATCTTCTGGTAAACAAGGTTTTGTGTCGATAGATCTCAGTGTGACAGCTGATTGCTTATTTCTTTTGTGTGCTGCACGTGACCACTTCGGCACGATTCTGTCATGCTGTCATAAAATCAATGATGTATGCTGACAAACGCTGCTAAACAGTAGCGAAAACCAAAACTGAAAAAAGTATATACGCACATGTGACTTAATTTGCGTCAGTAAAAACTCATGCATGACTTGAATCTCTTAGAAACTAAAAAGAAATATCATGCATGAACAAGGGCTTTGAAAGTTATGAGTTTCTAGAGCAGCGCTTTAAAAAAAAAGCTACACAAGCCAGGCTTTTCTAACGAATTCTGTACGTGACTGATCGCTGAAAGCATCTTATTCTCTTTTCAGGAAAAATATTCGAAAACGTAATTTGCTCAATACACTCAGATGGCAGTTTTCTTCGTATTCTCATCCATATACGAGTTCTTTTTCAAAAAATATTCATTCAGTATTTTATTCTTTTTTCTAATTTTCATAGGTTATCTGGAGATAATAGGTTATCCGCGATAGCTTTTCATACTAGATTATCCATAGCTTTTCCATAGTGTGTGATGGTGGCATAAGTACAATTGAGTTCCTGCCACAACTGGAATATAATGTTGATGCTAAAAGTTATGCAACACCGAGATGATCGGATGTTTATTTATTTGCCTGCTAAACTGGCTTTAAACCGGTTTTTCTTTTGTCTTGTCAAAGCACCATTCGAGCTTTGAGACAGATTGACCATTTCCAGATCGATATCATGTTTCCTGGAAACGATTTCAACTTGGCCTTTATCTGTTTATCAGGGTTTTTGTTAGACTTTTTTGGCAAACGTTTTAAAATGGCTTTTTGATAGACCACAAATGGAAGTTTTTGTTACCATTACGAGCCACTTTAAGGAAAGATGGAGAAAAACTAATTCATTTGGCATAAAGGTCAGGGTGAATGGAGAAGTGAACGTGAGCTTGTGGCTAATGGTTCACGTGGACTAATTAATTCAGTAATACTCCTACTCTCTGAATCTTAAGGCACGGACACACGGTGCATCATTGCGCCCAACATTGCAGGCAATGTTGCTAAAGTAGGATAGTTTTCTACTTCAGCAACGTTGCGTGCAACAAACTGCGTCATGTGTCATGGCTCGCAACATCAATCAATGCAACATTGCGCGCACCGTGTGTGTAGCTTTAGTTGATTAATTGGCGACTTCGAAAATCGCCTCCGGTCAAAATCACGTACTACGAGTACGTTTCACCTATATTCATAAAAACGTTGATTATTCTAGTGGGCAAAGAGAAAAGTATTCTCCTCACATCCCAGACTTTTCGTAAAATACCTTCTGAGAAATACTTTTCTCAAAACCGAGTGCGCGTCCCTAAAAATCGACACAATCGAAGTCACGTACTATGCAGAAAGTTTCACCTGTACTGTAAAAACATTGACCCACACGTCGACTACGAGAAAATTATTTTCCTCTCATTCCAGATTGTTCTGAAGATAGCTTCTAAAAGATACTTTTTCTCAAAATCCGAGTAATAAAGAAAATGCAACTCCATCCTGAATCTTACGCACATAAGTGACCCAAGAAAATCGATGCAATCGAGTTCACGTATTATGTCAACGGTTCACCTGTACTCATTAGAGAGTTTTAGATAGACTTTTTTTTCTCCCCGCAAACGGCCGAACGTGACCACGGTTTCATAGTTTTCCTTTATTTTACTTTACCTTTTACAAACCTTCTCACCAAGCGCAAATACTCTTTTGTTTTTCTACAACTTGGACTTTTTTGCGATTCTTTTTCAGTAATTTAAAAGAATTTTTTACTGGTCAACTGACGTTTCACGTTTGCCATGAACGTAAATCTAAAACTCTCTATTACTGCGGTTTTCCATGTTCTGCAARCTCGGTAGTTGCGAGCTGCACGCTGAAATTTGGTTTTTTCGCTGTCGTTAATCAAAAATAATCTGTTGGTACCTGTTATGTTTTTGACTGGCGGCAGTGAAAAACCAATTTCACAACAAGCCGTTGAAATGTCTGAGTTCGTAGAATATGGAAAACCGCAGTAAACCTTTGATTCGCGTGGGTAACTAGCAAAAATTGTTTTCCTTGCATCCCAGACTGTTTGAAAAAAGGTTTTAAAAGACAATTTTCCTCGAAAACAGAGTGCACAAATGTAATCACGAAAATTAATCACGATCTTATTCGAGGTTCACACAAATCTATTTGATTTCATTTCGATTTTATTTTTTTCAAAATCAATTTCAGATGAATTAACAAACGCGCTCTTTGTGAAATGTTAGCTTGCTAGCTCTCAATATCCTCATTGATCGTAAATCCGTGGTGCAGTTCTTTCTTGCACATGTGCTGGGGTTGCAGTCCTGCCGCTAAATAAAAGTGTCCCTGGTGTATTCATTAACAAAATGGATAGACTGAAGGGTTGCAATATCTGCATTAAAATTTGTCACCAAGCCTATAACTACTGGCCACTCGTGATGTAAACATGGTCATTTCTTGTAGATGCACCAGTGGTGTACTTTTTCTGGGTGACTGTGCTCCTATGATTGGCATTCTTGCTGTTGTTGCACAATGAAATGCAAAGAAGCTGGCCGTAAATGCTGGTCGATGAGGACCATATCTAGATAATAAAAATGATAAATAAATGTTGAACATGAATGTTGAAAAAAATACTTGTTTTCGTATGTAGGAACAAGTAGAAATGCGTAATATATCAACTGTCCATTCGGATTGTTTTTAATCCTTTTTGCCTCTCTACCCATTTCCTACCCTGATGTTGTTGCACAAGCATCTTAGAAAGATTAAGCAATAAGTTTTTTTCTTATGGCAAATGGCATACGTGATCTGGGTGATGTACGTGATCTACTTTAACTTTTATAAACCTCACCACAATTATTATTAATGTCTTAGGACTTTTAGCTTAGAACAAGTGCTTACTTAATGTAGTCTGCGTTCAACCGGTATATTTTCTTTCGAAATTATTTATTCAGCCGGTATAATTTCTCAAAATTATTATTTYGAGACAAATTATACTGGCTGAATGCAGGCTATACTAAATGGGGAGACCAATGGGGAGAATATATTTTGCAATTCCTTTTCACTAAGTTTAAATATAATTTCCAGGTTTACAGTTTCACGTTGGCTGTGAACAAGATTTTTAAACTAAAATACTGCTGGGGTCGAGGTCTGGGAAAGGGGCATGGGATATAAATGCTTAAAATAGTGTGCACTTTCTACAAATAGTGCACATGGCTTTTTTAATGCTCGGAATTGTGTTGTAATTCTTTTTTCTAGACTAACATAAAAAAAGAGAACTGGCTTAAAACAAAAGGCAAATCGAACAAAATAGCAACACTTGTTAGCAATATGCTAAAGGGCCTATGACCCCTAACTCAATAATGTGATGTCATAGTAGGCAATTGGGTTTATTTGTCATCATTTTAAAATCAAAACACTGATTACAATGAGGAAACAAATTTGCAATAACCTTTCTATAAACCCTGAGTAAAATAATTATGTTTTACTACCCCAGTAAATTTTCATATGTATTTAATAATGCCTCCTATGACATCA